TCACCGAGTCAACTATCCAGAAAGCTCGAGTTTGCCAGGAACCACATGTACCCGGGGGCCGACCGACTGCACTTTGGTCTTATCATCTCGCCCCCGTGTCCCACCACACCTGCTCCGGCACAGTGCGCTGCGGGCAATCTACTCGGCCCGAATAATCTCCCAGCTTCGCGGTCGAAAGGTACTTTATTCGGCCAGCTAAATGTAAGGCATGCGTTCAACATGACTCGAGGCCCAACAACGGTCGGTCCTTAATCGACATAGACGGAAAGCACTACAGTCCAAAACTCTGTAAGTCTCCGTCCGGTCTCAACTTCATTTAACACTTAGTTATACCATGACTACATAGTCATCCAAGCAGATCTAGGTAACCACCTATAGCTCGCAGGTGACAGGAAATCATCTGACTTCTATCGGTCTAAGCCAGCTAAGCATTGACTCGACTGCGGATACCAGGGTAACAAGGATATGGTATAACAAAGGTAGACAAGGTATAATGCAGCAACAGTTGCAAACAACTCCTGAACGTAATGCATCAATTAAAGTAAAGCAGTTAATTAATAATTGCAAACCGGGGAGAAAATGCTTCGCGGCTTGCCTCTCTCGAAGGAGCTCGAGCGGTGATCGGGGCACTCTGGAAGTTCCTCAACGTCCTCCTCGTCGGCTTCGGGCACTTCCTGCGGCTGCACCTTGAGCTGCTCCTCGGGCTCCTCGGGTATGACGACTGGGTTCTCGGTTTGCGATCCTGTATGATGCAATGTGCGTAAGTGCTTATGCAATCAGTGCATCAGATGAGATGAATACAATGGATATGCTTGAATGCAAGGTAGTCAACATCATCCAAAAACATATACTACAAGCACATGTCATCTACTGCATTCTATTATACTACTAATATGCTAAGTCAACACCTCTCATTAAATGCTACAAAGATACACCAAAGCTTCACTAATTTCTTAATCACACATAAAGCAACACTTGATTACATCCTAATTAATAATAGGTTTGAATAGCAACATCTATTTTTATTGCTTAGAAAAATCTTAGAAAATTACCATATCACAGTACTACCCTAAGTAGTTGACCATCAGATTTTCATGGTATTTGAATGAGTGGATTAGCCTACACAAAAATAACAAGCTATGGCATGATTATGAACCTGAAAATGCTTTGTACTACGAAGAGTGTCAAACAACAGAGGAAATATTTTTCCTATGTTCTACACAGCAAATAATCACTGTACAAAAATTATCACATGCATGTTTTATACAAATTTTGCTCTCTAGCAAAAATAACAAAAACCAGCCATTAAAGGCACTTGAACTACACCTCATAATTTTTCTACAGTACATGCATGAAACATATTTTTCTTAGGAAGTACATTACATGAGAAGATTAACAAACTTGGAATCATATTTTTCTGAAGCCTATAGTTTTTTCTACACGTTTTTCAAGTTATCAGCAATATCAAGGATTAAATAAAGCTCTACAGAAAAGTATCTCAAAAATGACATGCAATAATTTTATCATGTAGATCTGGTGACAAGGAACCTAGCAAAATTTGTTTCAACAAATTTAGGGCCAAAATGAGTACACAAACATTTTCCAAAGCATTTAAGTAGAAATCTGAAAATTCATTTTTCAAATCCTTTTTAAACTCCGGCTGACGAAATTGTTGGGTGCACCCGGTGCTGTGCACCCAGAGGGGCTGCCAGGCGGGACCCAGTGGGTCAACCGGCCCACTGGCCAGTCACCCGGGGCCTTCGCCAGCCACCACGGCTGGGCCCTGCGGGTCAGCGACCCGGGGGCAGGGGAGGGGCTCCGCCGGCCGGTGCTCACCGGCGGCGAGCCCTTCCGGTGGTGTGGGTGGTGCCAGCGTGCACGCCACGGCGAGCCGCACCGGCTGGGATGGTGGAGGTGGCCCGACGGCGTGACGAACCACCTGGCCGTGGTAGCGCGCTCGACGGAGAGGAAGGAGGCGGCCGAGCTTGGTCCTTACCTCGACGACGGCGGCCGCAAGCGAGCGCAAGCGAGGCAGGGATGCTAGGCGGAGCATCAGGCGGCGGGAATCGAGGAATGGAGGCGTGGGAGGGGGTATGCCGCCGGCGGGGCAGCGGCGGCGTCGGTGGTGAGCTCGTGGCACGCGAGAAGCCGGGCGCCAAGGTCCGAGAGAGCGGGAGGAGGAATGAGGAGGAGGCAGCGTGGTCGGGTAGAAGAAGGCGCACGCATGGAGGGCGGCGAGGGTGCCGTGGTGGCTACTGGGCGGCGGCGTCGCCAAGATGCATGGCGGCGACGCCTGTAAGGCGGCCGACGGCGTGGCGTGTGTGTGGCTGGAACAGAGGCCTTGTGTGCAAATGAAGAGAGCCAGATTGGCTGGCCGGGCCGAACGCAGGCGCAAGCTGGGGAAGGCGACATTCGGCCGGGCCGGCCGTGGCCGAGAAGGTAGGCGACGGCCCGCGAAAGGAGAAAACATTTTTCTCAATTTCTATTTTTAAGAAATTTTCAAATACCAATTTTCAAATATCATTTTGAGCAAGAAAATGACATCTTTTGAAAATGTCCCTAAAATAAAAATTGCTTAGAATTTAATCCTCTACAACTTTGCTTTTATGACCAAAGTCCAATTCTTGCTAGATTTTGAATTATAAAATAAAAGTCAATTTTAACTCAAAACCCTAATTTTGGAAAGTTATTTTAAAGCAAAATTTGGCAATAACTTGAATACAAAATTTGCTCCAAAAATTGCGCTAAATAATTATAAGTGATTTACAATCATAGCCAAACATGTTTTACTAACCTAGCAAGCATAATTTGGGCAAACACAACTCTAAACAAGTGTATGCAACATTCATGTTTCACGAGCATGTTTCAAATGTTTGGAAGTAGGGTTTCAGTTATTATTTACATGATTAGGCATGTATGATTAGGATGCTTGATGATGCATAATATGCATGATTTGTAGTGCCTAAATGCTGGTCATACACCGAGGTGTTACAGACGGTGGCGCTTAGCGGGGGCGTGGGCACGATAGAGCCATGTGCTCCCATTAAAATTCAGACAAGACGCTAGCGAGGGAGAGAAAGACAATGGCGTAGGCAAACCGACGCGCCGGGGTGCAGAGAAAAGAAAGAGCAAACGACGACTCGATAACTCATCGCGACGCAAATAAATTGGATGACTGACTCCGAGCGGGGGACGCACTATGTCGCCTAGCGATCAGATGGCAGTGAGGTGCCTTGTCACCCCAGAAGTCGGGATGGACGGCCACTAAGTGACGACTGCGAAGCGGCACGGAAGTACGATGGGGTAGATGGATCAAGAGGCGAGAAATGCGCCACGATCACCAACGGCGACGTCACAGCGGCGACAAGACCCTGCGCGCAGCCCACGTCCCGACGCGGCTAACCAGCATGAGATTAGGACGCGGTAGCGGCAGCGGGACAGCGCGCTGAGAAGCGGCGTCGGCAGCTCGGCCGCAGAGGCGAGACTGGCAACGAGGCCAGCGCGCAGCAAGGCAGCGACGAGGCTAGGCATGCACACAGGCGTCCATGAGTGTGTTGTGTACGTGCGCGGCGTGCGTGTGTGTTGCCGTAATTTTTAACATGCCTAAACCGAATTAATTCCAACAACTACGCATTTCATACACTAGTCCATACGTCACACTAACTCGTAGAAACAAATATCTTGGAACTAATTAACTTGTTGTTCAATATAATTCGCCCAAAATGACACTTTTAAACATAACTTAAAATTTTAAAATCCGAAAAAATCATTTCGGTAGATCCTCTTAGTCTAAATCTTGATGTTAAGCAATCTCCTAACACCGAGATGTTACAATTACTCCCTCCATCACATGAAATGTCTAATTCTAGCTTTCTAGCAAGTCAATCTATCTCAACTTTGATATATATCCAAAAGGTAACATTAATAATGATATTAAATAATTATAATTGGACTCGCACTAAATATATTTTCATAGAATATTAATTTCGAGTCCTAAATGTTAATAGTGTTTTCTGTGAACTTAGTCTAACTGGCTCAATTTCGGTCTAGAATTGTATAATTTTTAGAAAGAGATAGTATCTATAAAAGACAAAAGAGAAACACAAGAGACTATCAAATCTTGAACTAATTTTATAACTATCGAAGATTAAAATGTTGAGAAATCGGTTCTTGTAATGCACACATAGAAACACGGAGACACAGTATAAACACACAGAGAGAACACAAATGTATGGAGGAGACGGGAGCTCTTTATTTCACTGGTTTCCAGTTACTACGGTACATAGGAGACGACAGATCTCCTCTTTACAAAGCCGGTGGGCAGGCAGTGCTGCCCATCGGATTATCCCGTTAATCACCCTCCCACGTGGGTCATTACACATCCCTTGCTTTTTGTCCTTTTGTGATTAGCACCCAAGTGTTACAACAGTGACACCCATATAGGCCCTGTTCGGCTGCCTTTGAACCTGGCTTTTCCGCTTTTTTTTCATCCGGAACAGTGTTTTTCTCTCACAACATTTCATCCGGAACAGTGTTTTTCATCAACTTTCCTCCAACTTTCCCCAAGTATCTTTAACTTTACAATACAAAATTCTCACAAGTCTACAACATGTTGTTGGCTTACAACACGGGATTGTAAAAATCTGCAATACCTGTATACCACGCTGTATGACGTAAACGGAACCTATGCACGCCCACTAACAAGACTGTATAACACACATTTACAAAGGGCTGTTAACACGGGCAATCACATATTCACGGATCACAATTTACACACATCATGCAAAATCGCTATCATACACAGGCGTTGAGGCGTACATGCTCAAGCTCAACGCTCCAATGCCAGCAGCCCGGTTCACGCGAAAAAGCCTCCCCCTAACCCCCTTCTACGATGACCGAAAGGCAAAGCACATCCAAATCCATCCCCAAAAAAGGCAACCACGACATGCGTCAACTCTCAAAAACGACCACCCGGACGTTGGACACCATTGTCGTCTTCTTCACGAGAAGCCGATGGTCTTACCGAGCAGCCACAGGAACAGCGTCCACTCGAGCATGAAGATCGTGTGCAGGTAAGACCGATCCAGCGTGAACCCGAACACGGTGATCCCGGCTCTGTTGTTCTCCAAGTATGTCACTGCAAGCGATCCAAAACCGCCGAAAATTAGTCATGGGATGACAAGAGCAGGGTAAAAAAAAAAAAGAATAAACTGTGGAAGGAGGGGGTAATTGCAAGCTGATTACCTAGTGCCTGCCTCTTTTGGAAGGAGATGACATGCGCGTGCGGCATATGAATCTTGGTGTTCTCCAGGAGATCTTCGTCGCCGGTCTCCGCGCTGTACTCTGTGTCGCTGTCGCTCTCGGGTTCTTGTTCGATCATGGAGTTCTGGTTGGACCCGGGCTCCCCATCCTCGAGGACGGGCTCGATGGTGCAACAGGCGTGCCACTTGGTGGTGTGGCCGGTGAGGGCCTGCGCCTGGTGGGTGATCTTGGCGGCGCTGCTCAGGATTATGATGAGCCCGGACATGAGCACAACTGAACATAGCTGGAAAATGTGAACAAAACAAAATATTAGGATATCCCCCAGTCGTAAGTCAGGAAGAAAAAGAAAGAAAGCGATGGAAACATTGAATCGTTGTTAGGATTTTGAAATTGTCGTTGGAATAAATACGCGAGCTTGTGGCTACCATAATCGCCGTCTGACTCTGAAACTGGAATTTCTTTTAGTAGTCAGGCTGGAATCTTTGTCGAGTGTGCAAGGATGCGAGTCCAGGAATCCTACTCTTTGACCATGGCATGTTCAAAATGCTTCTAACTGGAGTACGTAGTTGTTAAGCATTCTCTTTCAGATGAAGTGTCGTCTCGTGTAAACTGCAATCTATGTTGACTCACATTTGTAGTAATGCAAAATAGCTGAAGTAAAGTTGCAACAGAAACTTGGAATTTAAGCATGTTCGTTTGGCTGTGGTTCATCGTAAACGATCGTAAATTTTCAGCCAGAACAGTATTTTTCTCTCACACAAACCAGCCAGCAGTACTTCTTCACGAACCAGCAACGATATAAACTAGCCAACCGAACAGGCTGATTAGCTGTTCTGCTTCTGATGTAAATTAGTACCATTATCATTGTCCTCACTCGCACGGCCTTGGCAGAGAGGCAGAGAGTGGTTTTGCTTGTTTACCTCCAAAATTGAAAGGAATAGCTGTGCAGCAGGACATCTTTTCAGAATCAAGATCCAGCGCCAGACAGATCGTAGCTACTAGTTGGGCGTGTATCACATCACGCCTCAGGTTTGCTGTTTCTGACACCGCGCTAATCACTATTGCTAATTAACGAGCTATTAGGTCACAACACAATATAATCATCCACAATTCCCGGTCCAATTCAGCGTTCAGACCACCTGTTTTGTTTTCCTGATTTGATTAGGCCCTACTCCATCCGTTCTGTAATATAGTGCATTATAGCATTAAAAAATTATCCTCAAATATAATGCATTCTGAAGATAAAAATTAGTTTTACATTAAATACTTTCTATTTATCAACTAATCGTCATTAATCACGTTGATAATAATGTCTAATTAGAAAATAAAATAAGGGTACATGTATTTTTTATATTCTCTCTTAATTTGTCTTAAAATTTCTAAAATACACTGTGCTACCGGACAGAGTGAGCAGGCCCGATTTTTGATCGTAGGCTATCCATCAGTCATCTCAATGATTCTATATATTGTCCCAGTTGTGCTTTTTCTAAACGTGACACATCGGCAATTATTGATTCCGTCAAAATTAAGAAAGCAGACACTGTAAAGTTCTCTCTGTGTTTCAAAAAAAAGAGTTCTCTCTTCCTTAATCAGGTTTGCCGTAGGAAAGATAAGCGAATGAATTTGGGAACTCAACAATTGTGCCTAATTGAGCGCAGTGCAGTTCATGAAAATTCGAACACGAAACCGAGCAATTAAGCAGTTGTATAAGACTCACCGCGAGCTCGCCGGTGTTGAGGAGGTCGTCGACGGAGTCGCGTCGCGTGGTGAGGAGCACGGAGGCGAACTGGCTGGCTGTGGCGATGAGCAGGGCGGCGACGATGAACTTGCGGAAGCGATGGCTGATGACCTTGAGCTGCTTGCGGATGTCGAGGTGCTCTCTGAGCACGGTATCCACCCCAGCCCGGCCTTCCTCGACCTCCTCGAGCAGCGAGCCGGCGAAGTCCTCGAGCCTGAGCCCCTGGAGGTGGCAGATGAGGCGGAAGAGGACGCAGGTGAGGAGGTAGACGGCGCTGCGGTACATCCAGGAGGCCATCTCGAGGGAGCATGCGAGCACGTCGCTGAGGACGTCGTTGGCGAAGAAGGGCACGCGGTCGGCGGAGGTGGCGTACCACCAGGCCTTGTACGCGGCCTCGGCGGCGACGCAGGGCGCGACGAGGGAGGCGAGGTGGCGGAAGGAGAAGGCCAGGCGCGCCGTGTAGTTGAGCCGGACGCGGTCGCTCTTGCCCCGGAGCTTGTCGAGGTGGAGCAGGCGGCGGAGCCCGACGCGGCGGAAGGAGGCGGAGAGGCAGAGGAACCCCGCCGCCGAGGCGGCCGAGAGCGAGAGCTGCACGACGGCAGAAAAGGGCCGGCGCGAGGCCCGGAAGGCGAGGAGGAAGTGCGCCGCGGCCGGGACGATGATGGCGAGGACGAGGAAGAGGAGCCAGGATAGCGCGGCTTGCGCGGGGCCCGAGTGGTCCATGCACACCCACCGCAGGCAGGAGCGGAACCACTGCAGCTCGTCGTCGGCGCGCGACGCGCACCGCTCCAGCGGTACCCCGCGCTTCAGCGCCCGCGGCAGGAGCGGCTCCGCCGACGCCGCCGCTGCGGCGGCGGACGCGCTCAGCCTCCGCCCCATGGGGACCAAGACTCCAAGAGGGAGGCGATCCGTCGGTCGATCGAGTCGAGCGGTTCGATTGCGTTGCGCAGCTGGTTGGTCGGTCGGCCGCGCGCCCGCGCTCTGTCGTTTGCTTGGGCGGGCAGGCAGTGTGGGCGTGGCGTGGGTGGTGGCGGCGGCGGGCTACAGGTGGGATGGAATGGGAATCCGAGCTGGAGGAGGGAGGCGTGGGGTTATTATATAGGGCGCGTTCGGCTGGTCTGAAAATTTCAGATCAGCTAGCTGCTTCGGCTGCTTCTCCTCACGTGCTATAGTGCATCTTTCGATCGTTATAGTATTTCTCTCACACACAATCAGTCGCTATAGTGTTTTGATTTTTTTTTTCAGACAAACGAACAGGGGTGGCTGGCTGGCTGGCTGTGATTGTGAACGGGGTTGCGTGCGCTCGGTACCCCTGCATTGCAGGTGCGTGGCGGGGGGACACAGGACGGCGGCGGATGCCATGGGAGTGTTTGCGTCGTAGCTTGCCCACTTGCAGATCCAGCGTCATCAGTTCGGACTCGCAGGAGTACTGTACTGTTTGTCATGCAATACCTACTCATACGCTGTTCCATGGCACAGACATAACAGTATATAAACGATCGTGGCCTGCCGTAAGCGATCATGAATTATTTATTCTCGACTGGTTTTGTGTTTGAGAAAAATTATATTGTAGCTTATAATCAAGACTGGTCTGCAGTACCTATCCAGCAGCAGCCATGCGGCGATGCCAGACAGCCGAGATGTTGACACACTTTCTGCGGGGATCATCTGTGGCCAAGTGTTAGGAGAAGCGCAGCGACGTATCAGACCCGTCGCACGCAGCCGGGGCCAGGCGGATCGACGGCATCCCGGACAGGGCGGCGGAGCGCGGGCGCCGGGATGGAGACCGACCGCGCACGCCTCCTCTGTCCTCTCCCTCCCTCGCGCGCGGGTGCGTCGCCCTCAGGCGGTCGTCGCGGCAAAGGCATCGCGAGGCTCGGCTTCGGCTGCCTTTCAGTTTCAGCCTGCAGCCCTACCGCGGCGCGGAAAGCGACCCGTGTGTCTGTCCGTGTAGACGCTTGGCCAGTGCCAAGGGGAACTTGGCCGCGTCTCTGCCTGCGTGGCTGCGTGCAGGAAGGAACCCGGCTGAATTTTTTTTCTCTCCCATATTGATATGCCGTATTGCTCACTGCGATCAGGACTCGGGAGGCGAAGGCGTATAGTGATGATAACCATTTGCGATTATGGAACTTCATTCGTTTACAGGTGTTTACAGAGGTTCGTGGTATGCAACTTGATTACGTGAGAGTTTAGATACCGCTCGAACTCCCGATCACCAACGCTTCTCCCCCGCCTGGCGGTGCGCCGAAGAACACGGCCAACCAAGACCCCGTGAAGTGATCGATCGCAACCATCACGTGCTGTGTGATCCAGACAGCACGGAGAGATCTACGTATCTCACTTGCCTCGCCCACGGTTCTCGACGCGCCGCGACGTGTCGTCACGCGCCGCGGTTCGTCCAGGTCCAGGTAGGCAGAGGGCACCGTGCGCGCGCGTCCTGTTTCTCTCGGTCGGCGGAGGTGTCGTCGTTTTGCCCGTGGCCTCATGCTTCGGGTACCCCCGCACTCTGAAGTTGACGGCTCGGCAAAGGGACACAACGCCGGTGCTGAGTCACGCATACGCCGCAGTACCGCACTCGGCACTCGTAAAGAAATGGCTAAGCTTTTTTATTTCCCTCTTCAGTTGTGTTACGCTCGTGCTGTGTCCCAATTTGATAGCTACTCCCTCATTAATGGATTGATTGATGAAACATGGGAGCCAGGTCAGGTCAGGCCAGGTGTTTTCTTTTTCTCCTTGGTTGGCTTATCAGGCATGTTGGATTGTTGTAGTAAGTAAGTACATGACCAGATACAGACAGTACTGGCTAAGCTTGGTGCTTATCAGATGGATCAGGAGTTGGCACCACCTGTTCGTTATCCCCGCTGAAACTCTGAAGGCCTGCTTGAGCGCTTGACAGTTGACACGAACCCGTCAGAACGCCCCCCTTTTCTTTCAAGTGAGGAGAGAGGCCACAACTGTTGTCAAGGCCCCAGCCACCAGGGGACTTTTTGTTTTCGATTAAACATGTAATTGCAATTCTTTTTTTTTTGTTTAATAATTAGCGGGATAGGTCGGAGACCAATTGACTAGGCTGATCCCTCCGGGAAAAATAATAAAGAAAGAAAAAGAAACAATTGACTAGAGCATTATTAAGGGAGGGATAATCTGATGTCAATGAGGATTCATGACCATTTCCCTGCCCCTTTGGGCGGTGAGATAGCACGGATAACTCCTTTTGTCGGCAAAGGGAGGAGAGCCACACATATCAGCGAGCTTCTGGCTCAATTTGGAGAGCCAAATTGGAGGTAGGGCAACTCTTGGCGCCACAAAAGGAGGAAGTAGAATTTGCCGCTTCTAACTTGAGAAAAGAAATGCACTAGGGACACTTCCGTGTTTTCTCTCCCGTGTTTCCGAGCATGGAAACTTTCCTCACAGAATTAGTTACTTGAAATGGTCACGGTTCAGCATACAAGGAAAATTGTAATAGCATAACGCGATTATCAGTAGTAATAAGTCGTCAGAGTTATGAAACTGCATTATTGCAAGCACATGCATCTCCGGTTCTCCACGACCTCCGGGCGCCAAATATCTCAGGTCCCATCAAGCTTGATGGCAACAGTTGCCGCTCCCAGCTCAGCGGCAGCATCTACCCACCGGCCACCGCAAGGAATTCAGAAAGAGGACACGGGGCCATTCTTTTCTTGGTTCATTCATCAGGCCTCCGTCAAAAAGTTATGGTAGGCAGTTCAGAAGAACACCTGGACCTGGGCCCTGCTGGCTCTTCCGGAGGCTGCAGGCTGCTGCAGCGCCAAACCCCCCGATACTGCTTCCTCAGTTCTTTCTGAATTCTGAACTCTGATTTTTGATTTCTGATGGGAAACCAGGCCAACTCAAACAACAGAAGAAAAGGGCAAAAGAAAGTGTGCACCTGAGCTGAATTGCCCTACCGGGCCAAATCATGTAGTATATCGGGCTGGGCCAAGCTCTAAAATTTCCAGAACAGTACGCAAATTGGTCCAGAACAGGCCTGGTCCAGCATTATACAGCAATCAAATCGATTCCATGAAACCATAGCATTGCCTTACAGGCTGCATCTATTGCATACCGGCAGATAAAGGTTTACCTCAAACTTTCATATACCAAGAGTTGACCTGAAATTATAATTGCTGCCTGTCAAGTATTAGAAGCAGGAGAAGCTGATACACATTTGTGAATAGCAAGGCCAGGCTGTATACATATAAGCATTTTATAAGGAGTTGCTTGTTGGCATATATATGGTTTGTTGTCACCACGGGATGCTTATTGTTGAGAAACATAAAAAAAGGTAGGCATATTGTTCACGTTTAGGTCAGTATAGAAAAGGGCATTTACTAGTATTAAGCTCTCAGTGACGCTTGAAGAATTCCACCATGGGCTTGTATATGAGTTGTGGAGCATTGTAGCCCATGACAAAGTCGCCGTGCGCATAGTCAGGCATGTACAGCACCTCGATGTCATCGCTGTCATGCTCCCTGATGAGCGTCCGCAGGAGGTGTCTGGTGTCAGGGACGTCGCCGAGAAAATCTTGGCCGCCATGGGTGAGGAACAAGGGGACATGCCTCGGGATGGACGAGAGATCGTATGGCGGGGGCCGTGTCTGATTGTAGTGCCTCATGTTCTCCTTCTCGTTTCCGTAGTCGTACTTTCTGATCGATGATTTCCTGACCACTTGTGACACATAAAATTTTACATATATAAGCAGCTGGGCTCTTTGTTTGGGCGACAGATTCCTTCGTTTCTGATAAAGATTCTTACGCTGCGACATGTGGACCATGTTTTTGACAGAGGTTGATTGTGGACCGTGCTGCAGGAAGATGCATGTAGTCGAAGCATTGAGGCAGCAGTCCGGTCCTTCCATCAGGGGATCAAATTCATAAAAGCCACAGTTAGTACGATATGATCACAGCCAAAGCATTAGTGTTTTATATATTTGTTTGGAGTAAATTAACTAAGGTGGAGTGGAGGTAACACTGTTACCTGCTACAGATGAAAATAGATCATAACAGTCGACGTCTGGGTCGACGCAGACTTCTCCTAACAGTTCTTGTGCAACTCGCCTGTCAATGTCATGGAGCAGAACATTTGTAGCAATCAACTTTCTAGGATTGAGCTAGTATTATGTGCATTTATCTTCTTCCTAATAGGAATCACAAGAAGTTGTAGAAGAAATGCCTACCCAAGAGGATTGAACTCGTGATAACCTAGCATGTGAATTGTCTGCATGATACAGAAACATAGATACAAAAACACTGAACATGGCCATTCTAATCAACAATAAGAATAAGCGGGTTCGTTCTACACTGCTTTACTTCTGCAAGGAAGATACGAGCCGCAAGCAAGATGAGCCTTGATTTCATCCTGTTCAGATAAGCAATTGGGCAGAGCAACGCGGCTGATCGCACTACGTCTGTTAACTTGTTATCTGAGAGGGCTGCAAGCATAATCAAGGTCCCCTAGAAAAAAGAGCAAAAGTTTCAGCATCTTCTCCCAGTTCCAAGACCCAAGTCGATGGTATACTAAATAATAAGGTCACGTGCATGATTACCAGGGAGTGACCAATATAGTGGACTTTCTGGCCTCCTGTTTGGTTATAGACAAACTGAAGTAAAGCAGGAAGATCATAATCAGCAAGTTGGTCCCATGTCCAGTCCCAAAAAGCCTGCAAAGAGGATTAGTATTGTTTTAGTGAAATATTTTGACATACGGTTTCTTGATCAAATTCAAACCAGAGATGCGAACGTAACCGGGTCTTCTGGGGTGAGGGTGGTATGTCTGCGACTGGACTTTGTTCCACGACAGTTGGCGATCCAAACATCAAACCCACCATCAGCCAAAATGAAGCCTAGTGATTGTTTTGGTGTACTCAGTACCCAACAGAAACCATCCTGTCCAATCAGCAAATTCATGTTTTTTCATCAGCTGTGAACAGGATTTGAATCACATGTGTTATGTTCAACAATGTGCTTACCACCAGCAGCCCATGGAATAGTAGTACTGGTGTCCTCGTATCCTCAGTCGAGTTACTGGTAGCATTAGAAAGACCATGGGGGATCCTCTTTAAGCTAAGAATATAGCCATCCTCTGTTGTTACATGATATTCTTCACAGGGATAGCCATAAGCTGCTACTCGTGACTTGCACATACCAAAAGGGTGGGGTTGTGGGGGGCATTGATCATCACTAATATCGTTTGTAGAATTCTGCATCCTCCATGAGAGAACAATTTGCAGGTTCAAGGCAATGAAAAGAATAAGGAAGAGTACATAGAGATCCTGAGCCATCTCTATTGAGAACTATGATTTTTGGCACTAGAGCTGAAACTTCTGTCAAACCATGAACGGGACTACAGGATATAAGCTACAATTTTGTGTGCTTCCAAGAATAGGTGGGGTGGGGGGCAGCTGCAGGGATGACCTCTGAATGACACTGAGTTTCTAGCTTCAACACTGACTTGTAAGGAACACTAATTTATAGAACAGGCTGTGCTATATATGGGAGTTTCGTTTCTACTTATTGGTTATTGTTTTCTCTCAGAGAAGCATGAGCATGAGAAAAATAATCTATCACCGTAGATCTTGTAAGTATTGAATGTGAGATTGAATAACCATGAGCTAATCAGGTGGAAAAGAAAACAGAAGTAGTTGTCATAATGCAATCACGCCATCTTGATGATGAGAATGAATAGGCCGTCGGTCTCACTTCACAACAATTCTGTGTTCCCAAGTTCTGTTCAGGACCACTAGGAATGTTGTAGACGAAAAGGTAACATTATCTATTTGTACCAGTGCAACTTATTTGCAATTTAGAGGGCAACAAACATTCGGGTATCATCACTGGAGCATGCTATCTAGATGTCCCTGATATATGCCAAATTCAACTGTTCTGCATGAGTATTACATGAGATATATACTAGGATATCGTATGCAATCCTAATAAGGGCGTACAGAAAGTTACAGAAGTACACCTTTGTCAGAACAAAAACGAGAACAATCTGAGTTTGGTCGGACCTATTTGGCAACTTAGAGCATTTTTCAAGAGTTTTCTAAATTTTCCTAAAAAAACTCCATATTATTTGCGGCATCAACGGTGGTCACTATTGGTAATGGGAAATTTGCTACATTCTGGACTTCATCCTGGATTAGATGGGCGTGCACCCAAGACGATAGCTCCGACGTTGTTCTCGAAAGCAAAAAGGAAAAACATCACGGTGCAAAAGGCCCTACTGGATAATCGTTGGATAGCTCACATCCTACCGATTCTAACGCTGCAAGAGTTGAATGAATATGTGACGCTATGGCAAGCTGTCAGCCACACTATGCTTATTGAAAACAGGGAAGACACTGTCTATTGGTGTTGGACGTCTGATGGCGAATACACGACCAAGCACTTACAATATTCAGTTTCAAGGGGCTTTCAGTAAGTTGAAAATTATGCCGATCTGGAAAGCAAAGGCCGAATCAAAATGTAGATTTTTTACGTGAACTCTGCTACACAAAAAAATTCTTACAACCAACAATCTGATGAAAAGACAGTGGCCAAATGACCCTATATGCAAGCTCTGTGGAGTAGAACAGGAAACGCCAACACATCTATGCAAAGATTGTGTATTCTCGAAACAAGTTTGGTCCCCTCTCAAACAATGGCTTCGATTATCTTTGCTGGACTCTGTTGCAACAAATGGACCACTACATAACTATTGGCGCAGATGTCGCACGAAGATTGAAAAAAACCAAAGAAAAGTGTTCGACGGTGTCATGATATATTTTTGGTGGAATGTTTGGAAGAAACGAAATAGAAGGACTTTTCAGAACACGGTGTTACAGCCAAGATAAGTTGCACTCCTGTGCAAGGAAGAGATAGAACAAAATCAGTTGGCGACAAGATCAAATGCACAGGGCGATTAGTGCTACTAGTGTTACCGCCTGTTTTTTCTGAGGTGTTTGGTCTCGGTTACCTCCTCTTTGTTGTTTTTGGTGTTGAAGAGGGAGGAATTTGTTCTTGTCTTAATTCAGTTGTACTCAGTTGGGTTGCCGGCCTGCGTGCTGGGGGAGTGGCGTCTTTTTAATTGGCTAGTTGTTTTTGTAAATATCCCGTTTACTTTTTTTTTCTTTTTTCCCGTCTAATAAAAATTGGCAAAACTTTTGCCGTCTTTAAAAAAAAAAGAAGGCAATCTCTAATAATATTAAATATTTTCACTTCTAAAAAATCAAAATTTGGTCGTCCTCAGGTTTTTTTGGGTACTCTTTTTTCTCGTGCGAAGGTCATCGCGCCTCCACCGCCTCCTTCATACGTCGCGCCCTAGCGCAGCAGTTCCAGCTGGCAAATAATAGTCTGCCATTAGCCGGCAACCAGCAGTCATGCGCGTGCACCTGCCCGAGCAAGTAGAAGTAACAGTAGCTAGCCATCAGCAGCAGCAGCAGTTGCCGGCCATCTAGTTGGAGCAGCAGCTAGCCATCAACAGAGCAGCAGTATTTGCCAGCCATCTAGTCGCAGGAGCAGACAATATACAGGAACCATTAGCTGCAGACAAGCGCACAAACAGGCGGCCAGTAGCAGTTCAGTGCCACACGACGAAGCCGGCGATCAACTCATTGTTAGCCTCTGGATCTCCGCACGGAGTTATCCGACCATTCACTAGTGTTGTCGAGCACACACTAGCGATGCCGACCATGAACTGTCGTTGACGACCACACACTATGGTTAGAAATAGAAGACGAGAAGGAGAACAGAGTACACACGTAGTACAAGCATCAGCGTTGGCGGAGCTCTGTAGAGGAGATGACAAACTGAACTCGCTCTCTTTACTGAGTTGCAGTGGCAAACTATATATACAACTCTATCCATCTAATCCTAGTACACAACATGTTAGGCTACCATGTTGCTACAGTGACTAGATGTGACAGCAGGGCTGACTTCGGCGCCTGCCCCTGCTGTGGCTATAGTGTGGTATGTGAGCCATTCGGCGCCTGTCCCTACAGCTGCTACAGTGCAACAGCAGGGAGCCCTTTTCGGCGTCGCCTGTCCCTGCCGCGCGTTCACACAAGGGGAACAACAGATTACCTAGTAATTCTTTCTCTAATCCTGCTGCTAACCCTAGAACCCTCTCCATGCCGATCATCTTCTTCAGTTCCGTGAGTCGAAGACGGTCGCGCGGCTTGGTGAGGACGTCCGCGAGTTGCCGACTAGTTTCGACGAACTCGATGACGATCTGCCATCCATCGATACAGTCCCGAGGAAGTGGAACTTGATGTCGATGTGCTTGCTCCGGTCGTGGAGAACCAGATTCTTCGCGAGGGCGATGGCAGGCTGGTTGTCCACCATCAGTGCTGGTGGGTGAGCTTCTACACCGGTCAGCTTGCCCAGCAGCCGGCGCAGCCACACAGCTTGGCACGCCGATGTGGCCGCCACCACGTACTCTGCCTCGCACGTGGACAACGCCACCACCTTCTGTTTCAGCGACAACCATGAGATTGGAGCCGACCCGAGGAAGACAAGCACGCCAGAAGTGCTCCGCCGTCCGTCGACGTCCCCCGCCATGTCTGCATCGCTGAACACAGTGAGCTGCAGCCTACTTCTGTCGGTCTTGGGGAAGACGATCCCCTGATCCACCGTCCCCTTGACGTAGCGCAACAGCCGCTTCACCGCAACCCAGTGATCCTCTCTAGGATCCTCCATGAAGCGGTTGACGTACCCCACGGTGAACGCAATATCCGACCTCGTGTGGACTAGGTAGCGCAGACCACCGACGATGCTCCGGTAGAGTGTTGCATCTACCTTCGTCGCGGTACTAGCCTTCGTCAGCTTCAGCCGCTCCTCCATCGGAGTCACGCACGGCTTGCACTTAGCCATGCCACTCCGCTCCAACAGCTTCGAGGTGTACGCGCTCTGACCAAGCGTGAGCGCCTCCTATCCCTGTTTCACTTCGATGCCAAGATAGTAGGAGAGCGCGCCGAGATCGCTCATTCGAAAATGAGCTGCCATCTCATGCTTGAAGCTATCGATGTCCTCCGCACGCGCGCCGGTGACGATCAAGTCGTCCACATACACGCCGACGATGAGCTCCTCCTTCCCTCGTCGCCGCATGTAGAGCGCGTGCTCGGTTGCGCACCTCGTGAACCCAAGCTCACCCAGCATGGAGTCAAGCTTGGCGTTCCACCCTCGTGGGGCCTGCCATAGCCCGTAGAGCGCCTTGCACAGTCGGAGCACCTTGTGCTCCGCTCCCTTGATAGCGAAACCCGGAGGTTGCCTAATGAAGACCGTCTCTGCCAGCTCACCGTTGAGGATGGTCGATTTTATGTCCAGATGATGGACGCGCCAGTCCTTCGCTGTTGCCAAAGCCAGAAGCAGTCGGAAAGACTCCATGCGTGCTACTGGCGCAAAGACTTTCTCAAAGTCGATGCCCTCGTGCTGGACAAAGCCTCGGGCGACGAGGCGCGCCTTGTGCTTGACAATGGCATCGTGCTCATCCTGCTTGACCTTGTACATCCACTTCAGGCCGATCGGACGACATCCTAGAGGTGGATCAACGAGCTCCCAAGTCTCGTTTTTCTCGGTCGCCTTCATCTCCTCCAGCATCGCCCATCGCCAATTTGCATCGTGCTCAGCCAGCGCGAACGTAGGTGGTTCCTCTGTACTGACGAGAAGAAGCTCTGGGTCATTGAGCAGCCGACCTGCCAGGCCTGAGGGCCCTGTGCCACCGACGATGTCGTCCAACCTATGGAACCGCACCTCCTCACCGTCGTGGAAGGCATCCACGAACTCAGTGATGTCACTTGGAGGTGAGGCAAACTCGATCGGCATCGATGGAGTTCCCTGTTTCGCTGGAGTGGTTGGCACAACACCTGGAGTGCTCGGCACCCCAGCTATAGAGCTCGACACTACTCCTAGACCGCTCGTCACCACTTTCGAAGTGATTGACATCACTGCAGGAGTGTTCAACCCTAGTTTTGGAGTGGTCGGCACCACTGTAAGACCTCTTGGCACCGCTATGGGAGTGCTTGGCACCCATCCTGGAGTGGTCGACACCACTGTAGGATCGCTTGGCACCACTCCTGGAGTGCTCGGCACCCCTCCTGGATTGCTCGGCACTGCCCTAGGAGTGCCCGACTCTATTGCTGGAGTGGTCTGCACCTCCTCTCCAGCGTCTCCACCACCGTGGATGACTAAGTGCTCGACAACGAAGGTGCTGGTGAAGCCGCCAGCTTCCCTCGTGCTCGGACTATTCCAGTTCTAGGCTGCCTTCTCATCGAACATGATGTCGTGCGAGACAAGCACCTTATCT